AAGGATCCGTGCATTACAAGAGAACAATCCTTAGGCCTACATGACGTAGTCAATGGTCAAGGGTTTGCAATGCATTATAGGGCAATTTCAAACATGGTCAGTCTTTTGGAAGTTTTCCGATATGAGAGAATCAATAGGGCAAAGCAAAAGGACGGATTGACTTCTTTTCTTATGTTGACTGTTTTAGAAACAAAGATCTTTCAATATGATTTTTATATAAGGACATAATGTGTGACAAAATAACCGTTATTGATCGTCAACACAGAGAAATGTAGTTGCCATTATGCCATATTCTTGGTTTTCGTGTGACACGGTCAAATTCCAAAATTAGAAATTATCTTTCCTTCTGAGGTTTTAATTTCATCAGATAAAAGACCCTACAGGAATGTGATGTTTGACGATGTTTTAGCTCAACAGAGTTCTTTTTGTAATAGAACACTCCAAGCTTTTGCCAAAGTTGCGTGACATGAAAATGGCGGCCCACAAAGACTGTCGCATAGGTCAAAAGATGAGTTATCGCTTTAGTTTTTGCTAAATAAACGGTGCTTGCACTAGAAGAAGCATTTATTTCAATGCGTTGCAGCTCGAGTAAGAATTTTCGTTTCAATGGCAAAACTGAACAACAGATGTTTTTGTTATTTTACAGCCGCCATGTTTGTGCCCCTCCGAACGGCACAAACATGGCGTCTCCATACAAAGCTCTATAAATTTGGGTGACACACTTCTGCAAATAACGGGCGAATGAAAAACAGCAGAAACCTGATTCTTGGTGAGGTTGTTTATATAGCAATCATCTATCATATCCCAGATTCTTGAATTTAATTATTGAATGGTTACGATTTTTAGTTTTGATCACATGACTGTTGAAAACCAAGAATTATGGCGACTAAACCAGGACTTTTGGTTGCCAAGGATGAAATGCTTGTTGCATTGGCGACCGTATCGATCACAATTTTGAGCCCTGGGATGGCTTTAAAATATTATGCCTGTGTTAAGCCTGCAGTCTTGTAAAAGAAAAGGGCCAAATTGGCCCTTTTTTCATTTTTCTGGGGGCCATCTCTGATTGTAACGCGGGATTCCCTCAATGGCGTGCTCTGGCGGAAACACTGCTCCACCCAGATGTATAGAATTAATAGGTACAGCAAATTTAATGCCTGGGGTAACCCTGCAATGGGCTAGTATCCAGGGGGGGGGGGGGA